TTGTGCTGTCTTAATCTTTTTTCTAATTTTGACATGTTTGCCCAATATAAGATGACTCACAATTCAAACAGTTTATTTTGTACACCACATCTTTTCTTTTTTTAGTAGGTGTATTGTCTTTAATGTTTGTGTATATGTCTTGCAGTTGTAGTAAGGGTGACACGGATATGTTAATATTATGTTTATTAAAAAGCCTTTTAGATAAAAGGTGTAAATCTTTGTCTATATATGGAAAATTCACAAAACATTTATTTTCTGATACAGACAAGTGATTTGAGCAATGTGTGGTTATTGATTGTTTGTCTAATAAAAATTTAATTCTATTTTTAATTATTGGACTGTGTTTGTAAGGGAAACTATTCATGAGTAATGTGTTAATGACTAATTTGATATTGTGATTATGAAATTTTGGGTTAGATAAAAGAATTGCATGGTCTACTAAACTGAGAACTGTGGATATCTTTATATTGAGAGGTGTAAAAGAATTAAAATTAATATACCTGCCTGACCAGCTATCTTTCCTGAACCAATTGGTAATGCAAATACCGCCGTCGTTAATGAGCTGAACATCAAGAAAATGTATAGAGTTATCTTTTTCTAATTCTTGTGTAAATTATAAATGAGAATTATAATTATTAAATTTTTGAAATATGTTCTCTATATCATTTTTGTTAATTAATAAAAGCGTGTCATCGACATATCGAAAATATAGTAGTGGTTTGCAAATTGTAGAATTCAACACACTGTTCTCTAAATCTTGTAGCACTAAGTCTGCTAAAACGGGACTTAAAGGACTTCCCATAGGACATCCTCTAATCATAGTATAAAATTTATTATTGAATTGGAAATATGAGGCCTTCAGTAGTAAATCTATTCCAGAAATGAATGTTTCGAGAGGTAGTGAAGTGTATTCAACAATTTGCAACCATCTACTCCTAATGGCGGTGATAACTAATTTATGTGGAATGTTGCTGAAAAGATTAATAATATCAAAACTAACTTTTTTCAACTGGACCCTAATCCTTTCTTCCTATCTGATTGCGTGACATTACAATTTCAAGTGGTTTTCAAGTGGGAGAGAATATGAACACCAAAGACCGTTGGTATTAAAAGAGCAGCGTGCAGTGAACGACTTGTAATGAAAAACACAAAATGCTAATTTAGATTTCCATATTTTAAAATTTTTTTAATTATAACACACTGATGATGAGACAAACCTAGTCTCGAAACGTTTGTGAAAATTATTATTTAATAAATTAGTGCAAGAAGAGTGTTGTTTGTTCATATTTCCAAATTAATATATATATATATATATATATATATATATATAATAAATTCACTTACCCTTAATGTACTGTCTCCTGCAGCTGTAGCTCTCACAACATCATCTCCAGCATAATAAGTTTCAGGGTCTCGTTTTCGATTCCTCATGAGTCGTTTACGATGCAGTCTTCTCATGATAATTAAAATCATTCCAACAACTAAACTTAAAACAACTATTGGGCCTAAGATTGCCAAGCACAATTTGAAAGCATACCCAAAGTATTCAGGGTACGGTTGAACTTTATCTGGAAAAAAAACTTATACTTAATGAAAATAGAAATTTGATTGGATGAAATGGACAATGTTAAATACTAAATTCTAGTAGATCAAACAGATATAAAAATAGTAATTATAGTCTATAATTAAGTGAACTCAGTAAGATTACAAAATAAACAACATTCAAATATTCAAAAGCAGCACATAATATACATATTTGAAATGTATGATCATTGAAAAACAAGACCAACTAATTAAGAAAAAAAAGATGAAAATTTAATTTGAACTTCTATTTACTCGTTAGAGTGTCAATTAAAGGACAATGCTAATGTTTATACCAATCTTTTAGTACTTAAAATATGTAAAATCACAAATAATTAACTAACCTCTACTATATGGATGTGGATGCAGTATAGGAAAAGAACCATTATTACAATAATCCCCAGTACAGCATTCTATGTGATATTGAGTAGCTGACGATGTGTGTCTTTTACTTATGCTATTTAGACCTGTAGTCAAATTTCCAGAAGATCGACATACAAATGGTATTTGATCTGAACTAGTAGTACATCCTCTAGATACCATAACGTTCCCATCAGGACCACGAACTGTGGATTTCCAGCACTAATAAAAATAATAAGAAGCTAGATATAATGGAGAACTACACTTTATAAATATAAGAGCTTTTAAAAACCTGTATAGCATTATTACAATGCTCAGTAACACTGCTTATACTGCAATCGGGTGGGTCACATGAATAACACTTGTACCTACTGTAAAACAATTTGTTGTTGCCTTAATGATATCATTTTATTATATAAACATTAATATATGATTGATTACATTGTATATATATATATATATATATATATATAGAAACAGTATTTATATTTTGCTTTATATATAATCAAAAGTACAGAAATTGTATGAATAAACACAATAAGTTAAAGAAACAAACAGGAAAAAATATCTGATTTAATAAAATTTAATTTCTCTTACATTTAAAACATTGCAATACCTTTTTTTCTTCCATCGCCTAGTAAGAATGCAACAAAATAATTTGTTAATAGTAATTAATAAAGTATAAAACATTCTTCAATATTAGTTACAACATTATGTTTCACCCAATAAAAATAGCAAATAAGTAATAAGTAATTGTAATGATTTTTTAGTAATGATTTTTTAACTAACAAGTATACAAACTGGGAATTATTCCGAAACATTATAGAGCAAAATCTTAACTGTAATATACCATTGAAAAACAAACATGACCTGAAAAATGCTGTTGATAAATTTAGTGCAATTGTAATAGACGCAGCTAGAAAAAGTACCCCCCCACAAATTAAAAAGAAAATCCACACTTGCTCCATAGACACCAAAGCTCTTATTGCAGAGAAAAGGAGGCTAAGAAAAAGATGGCAGCTAACCAGATCTCCACAAGACAAAACGCAATTGAACAGAATGTCTAAATTGATTAAACAACAGATAACAACGTTCAAAAACGACCAATTTCAAGACTTTTTATCCCATTTAACAATATCAGATCATTCGATTTGGTAAGCCACAAAAAACTTAAAACGACCTGCCATTACTATACCTCCAATTAGAAAACTGGATAACACTTGGGCATGCAGTGATTTAGAAAAAGCAGAATATTTCTCGGCTTACTTCAAGGAAGTTTTTACACCAAATTCTTCAAAATCCTCGGAACAAGAAGAAAAATTTATTTTTGATTCTTTGAAAGAAGTTCAGTCAAATTTTTCATCAAACATCATTATCAAAGTTCCAGAAATTACAAATGAAATCCGAAGAGCAAAATCTGCAAAAGCACCTGGCGTAGACAACATTAATATTAATATACTTAAAGAGCTTCCCTACAAAGCCTACCGTTTCATAACAATCCTGTTTAACGGTATAATAAGACTTAAATCATATCCCGATCAATGGAAAATTGCTAAAATAATAATTATTCCGAAGCCTGGTAAAAATCCGAATGAAGTCCAAAGTTATAGACCAATTAGTTTACTTCCAACGTTATCCAAAATATTTGAAAAGGTCTTAATTAGTAAAATAAAACCATTTATTTATGATAGCAACGTTATCCCTGAGCATCAATTTGGATTTTTAGAAAAACATGGCACACCAGAGCAAATTCATAGAATTGTCAACAATATAAACAAGGCTTACCAAAACAAGAACTACTGTTCAGCTGTTTTCCTCGATATTAGTCAGGCATTTGATAAGGTGTGGCATCCCGGCCTACTTTACAAAATAAAAAATGCATTGCCGATTGATATATACCTAATAATAAAGTCCTACCTGGAAGGTAGAACATTCTTTGTTAGTGTAAGGGGTGAAACATCTTCATTACATCCTGTCAGATCGGGTGTGCCTCAAGGTAGTGTAATTGGGCCACTATTATACCTCATATACACTGCGGACCTACCACAGAAAGAAGACATTTTGACAGCAACATATGCAGACGATACAGGCATAATGGCAACACATGAAGATCCCATAATCACATCAAAAATGCTCCAGGATCATCTTGACGTGATACAAAAATGGTTAAGCTTGTGGAGAATAGAAGTTAACAGCAGCAAGTCAAAACACATCACTTTCACTCTTTGCAAAGGGACATGTCCTGCAGTAAGACTTAATGACGAAGTTATAGACCAAGCAGATACAGTCAAATATCTAGGTTTACACCTGGATAAGAGACTAACCTGGAAAGAACACATTAAGAAAAAGAGAAAGCAGCTTGAAGAAACCAGAAGAAGATATCATTGGCTCCTTGGACGAAAATCAAAACTTGACACTCATAATAAAATTTACTCCTATAAAGCCATCATCAAACCAATTTGGACATACGGCATACAGCTATGGGGATCAACTTCCAACTCAAACGCTTTAATAATTCAAAGATTTCAAAACAAGTTATTAAAAGAAATTTTGAAAGCACCAAAGTATGTTCCAAATTGGTTAATACACAAAGACTCAGGCACCAGCACAGTTAAGGATGAAATAATCGCTTACTCACACAAATATAGAAATCGCCTAGCTGACCACCCGAACTTGCTCGCGAGAAAACTTCAAATCAACTCTACCAGGGCCCGATTAAAAAGAAAATTTCTTCTGCACTAATCAACAATAGATGAGACCATTCGACAAATCACTGGCAATGGTCAGATGATTTGTATTTTGCCAACGCCTTCAGTTTCATGTCAAATATTTTACTTGTTGTCCGTTTCAGGACAGTTGTAAAAATTATTAAAATAAAAAAAAAAAAAAAAAAAAAAAAAAAAAAAAAAAAATTATTCTGAAATCTGAATTTACATTTTTTATTTCAATTTCTGAAAATTGATCCTCTAAAATTGATTGAGGGTTCAATTAAATGCAAATGGTAAAGTTTTTATACAAACAAGAATAAATGTGAAATGAAAAATAAGCCCTGCTTATAAGGAAATAAACTACATGGAAATTATACATTTGCATATATATATATATATATATATATATATATACATATACATACATATTTGGAACACCTGATATTGTGCAGTAACAATGTCCATTTTCAATTGAAAATGTATAAGAAAAAAATGTTTTCAATTGAACATAGCCCGACTTTGGGCACTGCGGTGTGATATGGCATTGGAAAATCTCTATTCTGAATTGAGTTGAAGTTTAACTCAGCTTATGGACCTGCCTTAAGGCAGTACTACACATTATATAAATATATATATACCTTTACTGCTTGTGCTTAATGTTATTCACCAGCAGTTGTTATGCAGTCATTGTCGTTTTATTTTATTTTTCATTCAAAAAATGTAGAGTAACACATAGTATTTTGCAGAATATTAAATAACAAACAAGATGAAATATTTTGCAATTGTTTTAATGTATTTATGTAGCTATTTTTATTTTTTTTTGTTTGTTTCTTGTTCATAATATTTTCTTGTAAATTTTACAGTTTTGGCCTAAGTAATCGCTTTAACACAGAATTTCCTGCTGGTTTGGTCTCACGAGTGGCGCCTGAAGAATTCAAAGCAACAATATCCCGAGTTAATAGTGTATTAAAGAAAACATTACCAGTCAATGTTAAATGGTTGTTTTGTGGCTGTGTATGTTGTTGCTGTACTCTCGGTTGTTCTCTTTGGCCTGTAATATGTCTTAGTAAGAGGGTAAGTTTTTTTATTTTGCCAAATGATTGTTGAATCAATTATGTTATCCATTGCAATTTTTATAGGCCCAAAATTCATTAGAAAAGCTTTTGGAGTGGGAAAATAGTCACTTGTATCACAAATTAGGTCTTCATTGGCGATTAACTAAACAACATTGTGATTCATCGTCCATGATGGAATATGTATTTCTAATAGAATTCATACCCAAAATACCTATTTATAGACCTGATTAATTATTATAAATGGCATCTAACAGAGATCTTAATGGTCATATTTTTATGATAAATTTTAATGTTGACTGTCGATGTATATTGAATAGCTTTAAATCACAATTATCATAATACAATGTGTATAGTTTTAAAATGTTATGTAGTATTGTTAATTATTAAATGCTTTTAGCAAACTTTGTTAAACAGCCATTTCACATTGATCTTTACATAGCTCCTGAATGAGTTAACTCATTCGCTTCACCTGTTTGAAGTTCCACTAATAATTTTTGTAGGGAGTGGAAAGTTTTGTCATTACGTTGCTTACTTCCAAAAACCATTTTGAAAATAAGCTATGGCTGTTAATTTCTATTAATTGACCATGTGTAATGAATTCATTGTCATTGAGCTTATTTTTGAAAGCAATAACTTTTTTTTGAAGGTTAGCAGCATCAAAGTTCATTAAGGTGCTATTTTATTTTGTCAATATGATGCTGCGCTCAACTTTTAAGAGTATAAAATGACAGACATTGCTTGCTCAAATTATTATTTCAATGAGCTATGTAAAAACCAAATTACTGATGTGCAATAGTACACATTATGTCTTCATGTGTAAAGCGATCATATCTCAATTGTTTTGCTGTAAATAAGTGCTTTTTCATTTTATCACCATAAGTTTAGAATTATTAATACCTAACAATTTATATAAGAATGTGATATTTATTAAAATATTGTAAACTATATTATATGGATATAATATTATTGAATTTAACCTTTTTGTGACAAAGATGTGTAAGAAACCATGTTGCATCAAATACATAATAAATATATTTTATGAAATTTGTTAATGTAGTTAAAGTTAATGAAATGTGATTAGGGATGAAAAGTGTGAAATAAATAACTAGTAGTTAGGAGACAGCAGAGCTATAACTAAGTTTTTGTTAAATAATTCAATCAGCCTATTTACAATTTATCAAATACAAATACTAAAATCTGTTTGCAAAGTAAAAGAACATTATAAACAGATTTATAGTATCCACAAACTGAATTAAAATATTAGGTTCTTTATATTATTTTTCCTTTTTTTCATTGGTTCAAAAAGCCAATCTCAATGAATAAATTAAAATCTATTAGTAATGTAATATAAAACAAATTGATGTCTGCTTTCTCAATACATAAGTTAATTGAGATTTAAAATGCATTGCATTTTTTTAAATCTCAATTTATCCCTATGTTGAACGCAGTTTCAATATTCAGTAACAAGAAATTCATTCATCTTGTATATTCATGTATCTCAAGAAAACTTAAATAGAAAAATATTTGACCTGATTATTGAGAAGCGACTGACATTTCCTTAACTCCTTTCATGAAAACTTCAGTATCTGAATGTTGCTTAACTATAGCTTTCAGCATTGCTTCTAAAAAGTCTTCCATTGTTGTTGAACTTTTATTAAAATATAAAGCATGAGCTAAAAATGGAATTTTCCTAAGTGTTCTTCCACTCATTCCTACGCTTTGTTCAGCAATATTATAAAGATCCAAACTTAATTTATTAGATACGCTGGAATTTTCATTGTCTTTCACATTTCTGATAATTTTCATAATATGGTGATTTAGTAAATCCTGGGATTTACTTATTAGTCCAACCTGAAATAATTTAGTGATAAGACTAAAATTAATAATATATTAATAAAGACAGTTGTTACTTACCCTAATTAATTCATTTATACATGTTCTATAAATTTCATAAATTGCTACAGGAGATGGCAAACTTATATATTGCTTAATATCAGCCCGATCAACAAAGGCCAGATCAATAGCTCCATTAATATTCGATGTTGTTAGAATCAACACGTTTGGAAATTGACGTATTTGGTCAATTTGTGTAAGTACTGCATTAACTACTCGAATTGAATCTGATGGCTCGGTTCCAGAAAGAGATGACTGCCTCGCATGTGTTAATGATTCCACTTCATCAATTAATACACACACTAATGCTTGCGGATCATTGATCATTTCACGAATTTTTCTAAACATCTTCATAACCAATTTCCCACTCTGAAATTTTAAATATTATTTGACATATATATGTACGCAAATATATTTGCTATTGTTTATTTTTCAACTTCTAGCAAGAATAGTTTATGCTTTATTCAGAAAATCTGCTCTGCTAATTTATAGTTTCTCAACATTTCAAATCATTCTGAACCATTTGATACCAAAATAGGGAAAGGTATATGTGAATGTCAGCAGAAATGGCAGAATTGGTCCTGGTTTGACTAGTGTGTGACTATCGGCCAAGCCGTTCTCTTACAATTAGAAGAAAAGTGCAATGTTTTCCACCTATGTTTTCGCATAAAATTCTGAACTGATTTTAAAACTATTCAGATCTGATTATTACTACAAAATTTTATCAGTAGTCTATAATTCATGGCATTTTGAAGCAAACTCAAAAAATCATATTAAGTCTCTCTAAATAATATTTCATATTTCTTGTTATATTTCAAGACTGATTTTGCAGTCACTTCACCTGTTTGAAGTTCCACTAATAATTTTTGTAGGAAGTGGAAAGTTTTGTCATTACGTTGCTTACCTCTGAAAACCATTTTGAAAATAAGCTATGGCTGTTAATTTCTATTAATTGACCATGTGTATATCTATCACTCATCCTTATAGATAATTTTTATGCGAGAGCTTTGCAGAGACTAGTTTTGCCAGTGCCTGGAGGCCCATGAAGAAGTACCACTCGATTCCATGTTATTATATTTGAATCCACATTTTTATCAGAAAATAACAGAGTACTCTCTACAAATTTTAACAACTGAAAGAAAAGGTAGTATAATGAGAATAAAGTATTTTTCAAATAGAAACTCAAAAACTGCTTTTGCAAAATAATAACATTTAAGTGCAACTTACATTTTCTTTTATGTCAATTTCATATATCAAGCTTTCCCAAAGACCATGGAAATCCACTGATGGCAGCACCCAATGGTTAGCTGTTGATAATTCACTTCCAGTATCATCATCATAATCCTAGAAAATGATAATTCAACATTAAAAAAGTAGCATATAAAGTAGGACTCAAATTTTGAAAAGAAATAGCACTTAATAATAATTCAATATCACAACTATTTTACCTCAATAGTTTCAGCTTGAGAGCCTGCTTCATCAAGCCGATATACATGGTATATGATATTATTGTCAGTGATAGGAGTATTCTATAAATTGAAAAATAAATAATCAAACAGTTGTATTTAATTTTTCATAAATCAAAGAGTAAGAAACACAAGACCTTTCAGTAAAAGTATAGTTATGTGGACTTTAAAATAAAACATGGTGTAGAATTTTAATATAAGCGGAAGAGCATATTATATAATTACATGACAATGGTATTACAATGGATATGATGATTATATAGTTTTTCACTTTAATTGGAATCATACCCCTGACAATTTATTTTCATTACAAATAGTAATAGAATCTACATGGTTATAGAGGAATTCTTCATTAAATTTTAGGAATGTATCTGGTCCTATTACTGTTCCAAGAATATAGACATTTATTTTTTCATTAAGAAAGACTTTTGCAATTTGTAAAATGTCATTTTTGGCAGCTGCACTGAAATGAATAAATAGATAAGTGATTATTATAAAGATGGTGTCAATAGTTATTATATCAAATTGTACAAACCTGTTATTTTTTTTGTAAAATTTCCACATGTAAATCAGCGGACATTTTAAAGTAAATAATTGTTTATTGCAATGTTAATGATATCGGTATGCTGTAACACATTACAGATTTGTCAAATCTTTTGCACTGTGCTTTCAACTTTTTTATGTTGCATTCGCTGTTACGATTACTTCATTACTATCTACTATAATCTTCATTACTATAATGTTTACTTATCTATGACTATACTATAATTTCTTTTTTTCGGCGTGCTTATTCGCTCCGAGCGTGACTGCAGCGCCCATGCAGCGCCGTAATAAATATGAACTAATTGGGGTTATCAGTGTGTGGTTTTCATGGGTTTTACATGTTTGTTAAAGAAAAAAGATATTAAATACTCTTCTTTTATCTATGATTAAATAATTGTTATAAATAATAATAAACAAGATACAGTAATAATGTGAACGCTGAATGTTTATTGAAATTATTAAATTTACTTCAACGTACTTAAAACATTGTTAAGTATAATGATTAATTAATTAAAGAAATGCAGTAAATATTTGTAAGGTTAAGTGCCTCAAAGCTTATGTCATAAACTCGGAATAGTTCTTAATAAAAACAATATAATAATGATAAATAATATTTTATCAATAGAATAAGTAAATAGTAAATTAATTTATTCAATTTTTTGGTCAAACTAAAGACTTAGACATTATTATAAAGACATAATTTAGACATTATTATAAAGACAAGACCCATCAAATAAAATTGCAGGAAAAAAACTACATTAACTTTTCGAAATTAACTTATTGAAGGATATATTGTTGACAAGTAGGTAGGACTCAATACCTCGACCGATTCACTGCAAATGCTTGGGAACCCACGGTGATCCATCAACACTACAAATATATATTTCGCATTATTTCAGCATTGTATTAATTAAACTGTTTGCAAAATAAACATTTTTTCGCTATGTGATAACTTTTATTTTTCTTTTAATCATAAAATTACAATTATTATATAATAAAATGTAATTAATATATAGATAATAGTTATACATAATCAATATACAATATATAAATATGTATTTTTCATTATTTCAGGCTTGTATTAATTACATTGTTTTACAAAACAATTTTTTTAGTAAGCATTAAATTTTGATAATACAACAATTTATCGACTTATAATTTTTCTTTTTGCTAAACATAACAATTTTACAACTATTCATAATACTCCGAATTGTATTTTTATAACAATAAGGTTATGATACTTACTTTATTCTTCTAACCGCTGCGATCCACTTTTCCCGTTGATTTTCTTTCCACTTAGCTGTAGAAAATGTATAGAATTTGCAGTCACTTTTTCTGCTGGTATTTCTACAGCCCACTACAGAACAGCTATGGTGGCTCATTTTTAATTATCTTATTTAAATTTGAAATAAATAAATATTTTATGTGTTTTTGTTTAAAATTTTGTTTATAATAGCCCCTTTTAGTGCTCCAAGTTAGCCACTACGAACGCTTCGGTCGATTTGACTTCCCCTTCCATGCCTTCGCACATAGCCAATTGTGTAAACACCACCTTAAAACATGCTAGGAATTTGTCATTTGCTAACAGGGCCTATTCTCCATAGACCTTAGCAGGGCCTTTTCACTTAGAACAAAATCCTCGTTCAGAAGGAATACTTAGGGGTCCATTTCTAGTCGCAGATTTGGCGCTGGTGAGCCGATGAAAAAGTATTTTCAAATGTTTTCTATTGGTTACTAAGAAACGTCAGTTTTATTTTTGTGTCAGTTTACAAAATGGTGATTCTTGTTCGTTTATGTTTGTATATTTGTTAATAAAGATTTCATCAGAAATTGCTCTCAAATACATATATGCCCTTTGACAATATGAATAGAACAGCTTCAAACTCAAATGGAGGACATAATTACTACATTACTATGTAGTGCATTGACACATTAGTCTAATCATAATACACTTTAAAGAAAGGGGTCAGTTCTAGAAAATTGTGTAAGAAATCAAGTATACGCTTCTACAAGAAAGACATAATACACAAATAGAAAGCTATTCCAGCTGTTTGAAATTAGATTACCACTTCTCACGGATCAAATGCCAAATTTTGCACGGGATGATTATTAGTTAATGAGAGTTAAGAATGATAGACGATGTAATGAACTAACACTATAATGCATTATTCACTAAATTTTACTAAATATTTATATTAATAAGTAGAAGAAAGTGTAAAAGTTATTCCAGTAGATTAGATGTGATATGTATTATATATAAACCAGTGTATATTTATTATAATATAATATTAACTAGTATATTTTTGTTATTATTGTATCATTACAAAACATAATACGATTGTAATACCAAATTTAGTTTCAAATACCCGTGTACTAAAATTCATTAATTTTCATTTCAAATTTTGCGCCATTAATTTTAGTGCCAAAAGCAGCGCCATCGCGTCGAGCGGAGGACCCTTTAAGTATTCCGTCCGAACGTAAAAATCGGGCGAGAGAAACGTCTATATACATAAACACGGGGTATTCTAATATTGACCTTATACAATAAGGTCTATGCTATTCGCATGGCCGGTAATCTCCGAACAAATGTAGATTACCGTGTTTTGAAATGGATTGGTATTTGAATAGTTCGAAGGGGTTCGAAGGATGGCGCTACGATTTCCAATTTCATTGATCGAGCGGCTGGCTTGATCTACATTGATTTGATCGGCCATTTTCTATAAGTTGTCAAATTGTCATCGCGTATTGTAGTTGAGATGTTATATTTGTTTTTCTGTGATTGTTTATATATAATTATGTTTTGGTGAATACTTTTTTTATTTATTATTAAGTTAAAATGTTAAAGTGTTATGTGCCAAATTGTTATAACCCCAAATATAATAAAAAAATGCATGTCTTTCCGGCATCTAATTATCAGGTATGTATATAATGATATATTATGCATATAATGAATATATATCATCACAATACTTTTAAAATGTTATATATATAATATATTGTGTAAATATATATTATATATATTTGTGTGTAAAAAGATGCTTTCAATTTGGATGCAGAGGGCGAATAATCTTTTAATGGATGACCTAACTCTTCGGTTTGTGGCACAAATCAACGATAATTTGAAATCGAAACCAAATAGAAGTGTCTCCTTTACGGCAATAACAGAATAGTTTTCAAGTCACTGGATAATGCTCTGATACAGAACCAGAAGAAAAATCTGCAACTCCAAGAACAAAGCCAAGTAATTATAACTCTAAATACTTCCATAACATTTGCAAAAAAATATTAATAAATGAATCTTATGTTCTTAGGAGATGGAAGCCTAAACACCTTGAAAAAGATTTTTGCAGCACCTCTAAGATTGTGAAGTGCAGGTTAAAAGTCACCTATTCTGACACCAGTTTTCCGAAAAGGTATTGTTTCATACTAATTGCAGCAAAAATATTTAATATGATAATTACAATATCTTCAATTAATATGATATAACAATATATTCAATAGAAGTCCCTGATGGTAGCTACAAATTGCCGCAGAATGCAATGATAAGGCGTAGGAGTGCCTTAACACCCAGAAGATGTATGATACATCAAATTTTGTTTCAGGATTAAAATGCAATGCAATAATTTAAAGGATAAATTCCAACAGAGTATACAATGTTCTGAAAAGTTTTCAAATATTTCGGAAACTTAAAATGTAAGGGCAAGAATTTTGATAATGTCTCAATTAAGAGAGCATACTCAAAGACCAGACAGTTTATAAAGCGCAAGAGTTTAGTTATAGTTTTAACTAAACCTGCTTGCAATAAAAACTGGATTAAAACGATAGATAGATTTGAGCTACAATTGGTATAAATTAAAAGTAGTTCAGGGTTTTGGTTACTTACGTTTAAAAAAACACTTATACAGAAACTATTCAAAGATTTCGTCAAATATAACTTTATTAATGATTGATTAGATAGCAAAATAACTATTAAATGGAGAGATAATAAACGAGAATGTCTCGTAAATGAATTTTAATCCTAGGAATTTAGTTTTATCTCAATTTGGATATCAATATATATATATATATATATATATGAGTGAGTTCTTGAGGGCGATACATCAAACAAAGAATTTCTTTGTTCTTTGTTTGATGTATCGCCCTCAAGAACTCATCATATATTTCAACATCAAAATTAACTACTAAATCATATATATATATATATATATATATATATATATATATATTGTTTTTAGGATTATTTTGTGTGGAAAGTATTCATTCTTTTTTAAAAATGTGCTGTTCTTTTTATCCTTTTAAATTATTGCATTACTTGTCATTCCTTCTAAATTTGTCATTCCATCATCAATACTCCTGCGCTTTTTACTTCTTAGTTTTTAAGTTTTTAATATATTATTATTAGTCATTATTAATATGAATAAGTTATTTCTCTTTAATTTGTAGTACTTTAAAAATATGTCTGTAATATACTTTAATTAATAGTAGTCAGTTATTTCTGTTTAGTTTATAATTCTTCAAAAGTATGTCTGTGATATATTTGAAAATATATTTTGTATTTCGTATGTTTTGTTCTTATTTCAAATAATAATTTTTTTCAGATTTTTGGGCTGTATTGATTTTATGTACAAATATAGAAGTAATACCAGGGGTTAATTTATGTACTGTATGTACATGTGCTGCCATGTAGTGATCTATTCGTAAATTAAAATGAGCGTAACGTCAAATGGCCCGAGATAGCGATCTATTCATGCTTGTTTATCTATGGTTTATGCTATCCTCTCAGAACAAAATCCTCGTTCAGAAGGGCTACTCAGGGGTCCATTTGTGTTCGCAAATTTGACGCTAGTGAGCCGATGAAAAAGTATTTTCAATTTTTGTCTCAGTTTACAAAATGGCGATTCTTGTTCGTTTGTGTTTGTATATTTGTTAATAAAGACAATATGAATAGAACAGCTTCAAACTCATATGGAGGACATAATTACTACGTAGTGCATTGAGTCTAATCATAATACACTTTAAGGAAAGAGGCCAATTCTAGGAAATTATGTAAGAAATCAAGTATAAGCTTCTACAAGAAAGACATATTACACAAATAGAAATCTTCAAGTTGTTTAAAATTGGATTACCACTTCACAGGGATCTGAATATACTTGGGAGAAAATGAATT